TGAGAAACAAAACCACTTTCCTGATCTACTGCTTTCCTGCATCTGGACCTCTCCCTACATACTCTAGCACCACCTAGCTTAAATAAAGCACTCTCCTCCCTGAAGCTTTTATTATCAATCCCCTTTTTCAGAACTAATACCCCCTCCCTGAGTCTGTTCCTCTCCCACATCTTGTGGTTTACTTCACACACTCTCCAATTCAACTGTAAATCCATTGCCTGCAGAAGCATTCTTACTGTCTGTTCTCCAGTGTGTGCTGACACACGGTGAAGGCTCAGAAACATAGTCTGAAGGAATCCTTTGGCCAGCATCCTTAGTTTCCATCAGCAAAACTCCTCCCACCTGCCTTTTCAATCTACCCCACCCCATGGGATCCTCCAGGCACAAGACAATGGTTAAGAGGTTGGCTTTGGAATTTTCCTTTTTTAAAATTTTTTTATTTTATTTTATTTATTTGACATAGAGACAGAGAGAGACGGAACGCAACCAGGGGGAGTAGGAGAGGGAGAAGCAGGCTTCCAGCTGAGCAGGGAGCCCGATGTGGGGCTCGATCCCAGGACGCTGGGATCATGACCAGAGCTGAAGGCCGACGGTTAACCGTCTGAGCCACCCAGGCGCCCTTTTTTTTTTTTTTTTAAGATTTATTTATTTGAGAGAGACAGAGTGCGTGTGGGGTGAAGGTCAGAAGGAGAGGGAAATGGAGAGAGTCTCAAGCGACTCCACCTAAGCCCAGAGCCTGACCTGCCACTCGATCTCACGACCCTGAGATCATGACCTGGATTGAAATCAAGAGTCTGACACTCAGCCGACTGAGCCACCCAGGCGCCCCTACTGATACTTACGTTTTAAAAGTTCATGATACTACTAGAAATCCAAGTCAATTACTTTGCTTCTAGTTTCATCCTGATCTTTCTGCAAAATCTGAATGCTATAAATAAGACCCACCTTTTAATAAAAAAAAATCCTTCTCTTCTGGACTCATTCCCAACACCCTTTCATTCAAGAGGCAAACCAAAAACTCGTAAGGCTGGAGGCTGTCATCTCCCACCTACTTCGGACACACCCTAAAGCGGCGGTGATTGCCACAAGGCCCCCTCCTGAAGCAACACACACACTTCCACATCCTGCCCTACTTACTAGGGTCCTCCAGACTCACCCTCTCTTCCATGTCCTACTCAGCCTCAAGGCGCCGAGCCCAGGGCAGCTCCTGAGAAGACTTCTCTTTCTCCCCGCTACAAACCCCACAGGAAAACTGTCCTCCTGCTCCGGGCTGCCGGCGCAGGCACCAGGCACACTGCGTATTCGGCCGGGATGCTGTGCTTACTCCGCTCCAAACCCAGGCACTTGGCAACAAACCCTCCTTCCCGTGGGCTAGGACTAGATTTGTTCGAAGGAATGCCCCGATCTTCAAGTCATTTCCCCACCTTCTGAACTTCTCCAGCAAACTACCACACCAACTTCTCGCAATCACCCAATGGGGCCAGCAGGCAGAGCGGGGGTACCTGGGGCGAACCCGCGGGCAGGACGGGGGGGCAGGGTGACCTGGGGCGCCCGTGCGGGCTGAGGGGGGAGCTACCTGGGGAGACCCTGCGGACAGGGCGGGGGGAAGGGGGGTTTGCTTGGGGCGATCCCGCGGGCAGGGCGGCAGCTACCTGGGGCGACCCCGCGGGGTAATCTGGGGCGACCCTGCAGGCAGGGCGGGGGTACCGGAGGGGCCCATGGGTAAGGCGAAGGTATAACAAGGGCCCGCGGGCAGGGCGGGGACTACCTGGGGCGACCCCGCGGGCAGGTCGGGGGGTACCTGAAAGGCCCCCGTGTGGGCGCGCCAGGAAAGAGCCTCCTCCACGCCGCCGCCGGGTGTCCAGAGGTGATGCAACGCTCTGACAGCGCAGGGTAGAGAGGAAAAGGCAGGTCCACGCCGGCCAATCAGCGTGCGCCGCCGTCCACCCATCAACAAGCCGGGCGCCGATTGGCCATGCGGGCTCCGGCCCCGCCTACCCTGACGGGCCCGGCGCTGGGCGCCGGGAAGGCGGCTGCGCGCCCCCGCAGAACGCCTTCCTGGGGTGTCGGCGGAGGCTGGGTGCTCTTCGGGCTGCAGACTGTGGGTCGCGGGCGATGGCTGCTATTGTGTCCGCTGACTGCGCGTTTTACGCGGGTGTGCTCGTGCGTCAGTGTCACCTGGCTGCGCACAGGACACCTGTGCATTTTCCTACGCGCAAATCGGGCGATTGCACTGTGCGGCCCCGACCTGAGTGACCGTTGGAAGGTTCAGGGTCGCAGAGACCTACAGCGCGTCTCCGTTGTCGTTGCCGTCGCCGTCACCGCCACCGCGGGGGCACCTGCGGCGGGGCACCGCGGGGTTGAAGCCGCAAGGCCCTGGGGCTGAGACCGATGTGCGGACTGGGCCGGAGGTGCGCGCCCGCCCGCCGAGCCGGTCCTCAGGGAAGGGCGGCGGCGCTGGAGGTCGGTGGGCCCCGCAGCCCCTCCGGAGCTCCCCTGCATCCTCCTGCACAAACTATGGTGAAGGGCCACGTGCGGACACGTAACAGAACGGAAGAGAACGAAATGCCTGACCAAATTTAGTTATCACTGTTTTAACGTTTCCTGTGATGAAAACAAAGTTTATTTGCTTTTTTATCCATCTGCTCGCTTACCGTTTATTATCTCTGCTGTGGGTCTGCCTGGCACCTTCTGGATCCGCTGGTTAAAAAACCAAAGGGAAGTTGGAACCGCGCAAAAGTCAGCGGACCTCAGGCTTTGGCACCAGAGACTGAAGGAAAGTTTAGGCCTTCAAAGTGCAGAGTAACTGTAGCAGCTTACTGCATCCGTTAGAATAGAAAAAAATCATGAGACTGTAGAAGGCACAACACGTTTAAGAACACTTTGAGAGTTTGTGCAAGCATTCATTCAACAGTTACACTCCAGGATGAGAGTCAGGGGTTCTCACTGCCTTGCTGAGATGAGAAACTCTCTAGGCGGGAACACTTATTTACTAGTGGTGTTTCTTCAGCTTACTAACGAAGTACTCCACTTTGTGCAGTTCATTTTTACCATCTGCCCAGACAGCCAGATTAGAGCAGGATAGAAGGCTCCCAGATAGATGTGTCCAGGAAAAAAGGTGGGGACAACAGGTCTGATCATTTAAAAGTTGGATTGAGAAACATGTTATGGTACTGTTGAAAGTCAAATAAATAAAATCTTTAAAAAAAATATATAAATGCATAAAGAGGTTGAGCAAGTGGAAAAAAAGATTCTAGAAAAAAAGTTAAATGTCAAAATCCACAACTTGGATCAGAGTTGACTCCTCAGTTGTTAGAGAAGGAGTCAAAAGGTAATGTCTAAAACTGAAAAACCAAGGGGTGCCTAGGTGGCGCCGTTGGTTAAGTGACCGACTTTTGGTTTCAGCTCTGGTCTTGATCTCCGGTAATGAATTAGAGCCCTGCATCTAGCTCTGTGCTCAGCATACAGTCTGCTTCAGATTCTCTCTCTCCCCCCCCGCCCCCACTCATGCTTGCACAAGGGCACGCACTCTCTAATAAATCTTTTAAAAAAAAGAAAAACCGAGAAATCACAGCATAAGCATGTCAGGTAGAGATATGGAAAGAAGTATCAGAGAACATAAAATTGTTGAAGATGGTTGTATCTGGGGAGCACGAATTAGGAGTGGGCAAGGATACTTGACGTCACTTGTCTGTTTTGAAGATGGAGGGTGTGACAGATTTAAATATGGCCAAATTCCTTGACACTTCTCCCAGTGAGAGGCGATGGTCTGTGTCCCCTGCTCTTTGGTTCTGGCTGGGCTCTGTTGTGACCTGTAGAATATAGTGAAAAGAGACTGGCAGCTTCTGCTTCTGACACCTAGTTGCCATGCTGGGAGGAAATGCAGGGACAGGCACTGAGTGAGTGAGCCATCTTAGAAGTGGATCCTCCAGCCCCAGTTGAGCCATTTCGGTGACACTATGGGGAGGAGGAATGAGGGGTGCCAACGGAGTCCTGACCAAATTGCTTATTTGTGAGCAAAATTATTTTACTGGGATGACCTGTTATGCAGCAGTAGGAATGTATAAATGTAATCTGCATCAAGAGACGGTGGAACATTTGGATTATTTATCCTGCTGAGTGGTGGTTTTTCTGTTTTCCATCAAGTCTTGGAAACAGGAATCCCAAAAGACTCTTTAGCTGCTTACTTCTTTGGGCTTGTTTATTCAAAACAAACCTCAGTTTGTTCCCTGTATTTAAGAGTCTCTTATGGTTGGCCTCCCTTTCTGTCTTCATCTTACTTAGTTGCTGGAGGGAAGGTCGGGGGATGGGGTAACTGGGTGATGGGCATGAAGAAGGGCACTGGATGTAATGAGCACTGGCTGTTAGATGGACCTGATGAATCCATAAAGTCTACCCCTGAAAGTAATACTACACTACATGTGAACTGACTTGAATGTAAATAAAATCTTGAAAGAAAAAAAAATGTACCGAGCAACCACTATGTGCGAGACACGGTTCTAGGCAGTTGGGACACAATGGTCAATAAACCAGATGACATCCCAGCCCTCTAGAGTTTATATTCAGTCAAGATATAAATTAATAAATACTTTAATTCCAGATATACACATTGTGGCTCAAGGACCATCCCTGGGGGCTGTCTCTATAACACAACTCTGAACAGAGTGCAGTTTAACAAACATACCTGTCTTGAATCCTAACCAGTTTTATTTAAGGAGATATTAAATCTGCTTCCCTCTTTGAACTCAAGAGTCCTGACAGCTAACTTGGATTTTTCATAAGCCTCTGGTTAAACCAGAATTTTGGGATTAATGGGCTCGCCTCCCATCAATTCCTGGAGGCCAAGAACAGGAAAACTCTACTTGGCATCCTTCCCTGGTCCTCACAGAACTCTTCTATGATGCTTGTCTGAAATGTCTTACGTTTTAGTTAGTTGTTCATCAGGACAGAAATACAGAACTCAGGCTGATTTGTATTCAACTTCTTTTTAAAAAAGGACAAAATGGAGGTAAAGTATATTCTATACAATCAGAAATAAATATTTCAAGTAGCATATAATTCACACAAAGCCAAATTTGGAAAATATAAGTGCTCTTACCCATACATTTAAAGACTTTATGTAAACCCCGCATTAGAAATACCTAGTGGTTACTGAGGATAGCACAGAGATTATAACATAAAAAGCATTTTGGGGGATTGTCTTGTGCTTTGTTAAAAAAAAAGTTCAGGTTATTTTTTTGAAGAGTTTTAGGAAGAGATACAGAGGAAATCCACAGAAAAAGATAGCAGAGTGATATCAGGCAGATTTTGAATACTTTTTCACTGTGAGTTCTTCTCGTTTAAAATTATTTTCTGTATCACCCAGTTTCCATAGGTGAGCCTTCTTCACATTTGTATCAAAACCAATGCTGACAGTTATTTTGGTTTCACTCTCCTTTTGGCATCCTTATGTTTCTTCCGGCAGTCCTACAAAAACATATCAAGGCTTTGTTAAAAATAAATGTAAATCGTTTTCAAGATGTTCTGTAACTATATAGTAAAATTTAGATTATTCGATGTCAGGATTATGGAAACCATTATGGGAGTTGTCTACAATTGAAACTGTATTTTAGTCTTCCAAAAATCTCATGATTTACTGTTACTTAACAAGCATGGCTGGAACTCGGGCCCCTAAGTAGGCTGTTCTGCAGACTGCTAACCTGCACCAGGTGTGGCCTGACCTAAACAATGCCTCTCCCTGCACTGTGAGCATTTAAATCATGGTCTCAGGTGTCATCCTTTGTGTCTTCAGGTTCACACCTTACTCTCACTCTCTTACACCAGGCAAATATTAACACAAAGATAGCACGGCATCTATTTTAGGAGACAATCAATATGGAGATACAGTTACTCACCATCCGCAAGTTGTTTGTTCTGGCCTCCCAAGAATTCCTGCTAATATTATTCCCCACTCCTCTCCAGAATAAATCAGAACCTACTAGGGGAACATAAAAAAAAAAGACAAGGCAGGAGATTAATGCCTTTATTTTTTATTTTTTTTTAAAGATTTTATTTATTTATTTGAGAGAGAGAGAATGAGAGATAGAGAGCATGAGAGGGAAGAGGGTCAGAGGGAGAAGCAGACCCCCTGCCGAGCAGGAAGCCCGATGTGGGACTCGATCCCGGGACTCCAGGATCATGACCTGAGCCGAAGGCAGTCGCTTAACCAACTGAGCCACCCAGGCGCCCCGAGATTAATGCCTTTAAAACAGATGGTGTGTTGGGGCGCCTGGGTGACTCAGTCGGTTAAGCATCTGCCTTCGGCTCAGGTCATGATCCCAGGGTCCTGGGATTGAGCCCCGCATCGGGCTCCCTGCTCAGTGGGGAGCCTGTTTTTCCCTCTGCCCACTGATCCCCCTGCTTGTGCTTGCGCTCTCGCTTGCTCTCTCGCTCTGTGTTAAAAAAAAAAAAAAAATCTTTAAAAAAAACCAAAACGGATGGTATTATCAAGGGCTTCAATTCTAGTTTGCACCATTTTCTCCCCCAATTTATGTTAATTTTAAGAATATTTTGTTTTTGCGGCACCTGAATGGCTCATTGAGCGTCTGCCTTCGGCTCAGGTCATGATCCCAGGGTCATGGGACTGAGCCCCGCATCGGGCTTCCTGCTCTGCAGGAAGCCTGCTTCTCCCTCTCCCACTCCCCCTGCTTGTGTTCCCTCTCTCGCTGTCTCTCTCTGTCAAATAAATAAATAAAAAATCTTAAAAGAAAAAAAAAAATTTTGTTTTTTACAAAAAGAAAATGTGGCACTGCTAGGATTTTACTGTTTATGTATCATTTACCATTTTGTGTCTTGGTTTCTGTTTGTGCCAGGCTTTAAGAAAAGAGTTCACCAAGAGCCTGGACTTTCAGGGTCCTAAAAACAGGAGTTTTGCATGTCTAGCATCTAAGCAGGTCCCCATAGCAAAGAAGTCCTTGTTGATGATACTGAATGAGGGAGGGAGGGGTGGAAAGAAGCCCTCAGCCCTCCAGAGCTTACTAAGCCAACCAGCATCAGTCTAACAGGGACCGCTAAACCACACGACAGGGGAAAGGATCACAATTTTTGCCAAATACTTCTTTCTTGGATGCATGTGACTCTACTGGAATGCGCAGTGGTGAGAACTGTTCTATACCATTTAATGGAGAAATGGACTTACCATGAAGTCTTTCATCATTCTTAGAAAAAAAGAAAAATCTAGTGGTCTCCTCAGGTAATACTTCTCTAAAACAAAAGAGAAGAGAGAGAGAGAGACAGATAGACCTGGGTTAGTTAATCTCAATATTTCAGATGAAATGTTTACACTGAAAATATAAACGAACTATTCCTTAAATAGATCTGCTTTATGTTTTGCTCATTTTGCCCTGATTTAAACTGACTCCACCCTCTCTTCAACATTCTTCTCTTGTATCTGAAGCTTTGGTACAAAGGACTGTTTAAGTCTCACGCTGGTTGCTGATGGTCTCATCCCACTATTGCTATCCCATCTGCCAGTGTTTCCTGTGGGACGGCTCCAGGGTCCTCCTTCCAGACCTGGGACTTCATAACCCCCACCCAGTGCTACCCAGGTTGAAGAAGAGAAAACATGCTCCCTGTCACAAAAAAGCTCGAGAACTCTGAAGGAGCTGAATAAGAAAATTAAGTTGTCTTGTATACTTGTATCAGCATGTCTAACTCAGGCTTTACACCAAAAGAAACTGCTTACCTGGGGCTGGGCTTCCTGTCTTCCATTTCTTCTTCGGCAATATCCTCCTCTTCGGAACTGCTATCTTGGAAACGAGGGGCTCCCTGCCAGACAACCTTACCGGTTTTCACCGGCTCAGCTTTGTAGGTGTCTGTATTGTTGTGACAAAGGAAGGGGACAGGACTGTAGCTGAACACACTCTTTTGGTCACTTTCACCACGCATACATATCTCTACGTGTCTAGGATCTTAACCATTAATTTAAAATAGGTAGTATTGTTTTTGATTTTCAAATATTAATTGAGAGAAGGTGTCCTATTTTTTGGCATTGCCAGGGTGATGTGATAAGGAATATAGTAAGAGCATAAAAAGACATAAAAACCAAAGGTTTATAAACGGGCAACATAATTTAAAAGGAACCACCTGTGCTAGCAAGAGCTGCCTAAATAGAGCTCGATGCAGTGAGACCAGCTGCCCCTCCTGGTTATTCATCAACAAGGAAAGGAACATATGTGTACACTTTCAATTCCCAAAACCTCTTTCCAGAACTGCCGAAAAGGCTGTGGACAGTGCCCCAAGTTCTCCAAGCACCGAAATCACACCTCCCAGGTTGTTGAGGGGTCTCAGTGCACATTTCAAGGCTGGGTTCTCACACCTGGCTCTTGGCTGGAGGAATTACAGTCAGTGTCACACCAGCTCTGCTCAGCAGTTTGCGACAGATGCTGGCGCTCTGATGGACAACACAGCAGAGCACAGGATGCATCACTGTGTCTTACGTACACAAATTCTGAAACACTGGATCTCTGCACCTCGTGCTGGAGGACCACAGAACTGACATACTCATCTGCTAACACGTGGATGCTATGTTAACTGCTAATCTTTAATGCAGCACACATTGTGGTTAGGTGGGCACGTACTCTCCGAGATGCGGACATCCTGTTTTTTACAGTGAACTTCCAGGAAAACTGCACTTCCATCGTGAACACCAAGTGAGGAACAGCAATCTCCCTTACCAGGGGAGACTATCACTAAGTAAAAGGCATTTAATTTTCCGCTCATGTTGGCCTTTACAGGTAAACCTCCTGAAATGGAATGCGAAATTGTACGTACTGGGGTTTTTTTTTTTTCTTCAGGTTCTGGCACGTTTCCAAGGACAAAGTCTGAAAGAACTGACGTATCAATGACATAGTGTACCTGTATAAAGCCAGGGTGGCTTATTTCCCCTTTCCCCACCAGATGGCATTGGCTTTCCACAAGTCTTGGCTCTTCTAACTGCATGTAAGGCACGAAGCTGTTTAAATAGAGGACTTACTATATACTTCCTCGTGATTATTTCCACTCAGAAAGAATGCTGCACATTACTCTTGCGCTTCCCTTCACATGGCACCTAACTAGACATTTGCTCCCTTAAGTGCAAAAACAATCTCTTGCTGTTATAGCTCCTGGCATGTTGTCTTGGCCATATGATACCAAATCTCATATTGTTCATTTAGGTGGAAGAAAAAATTTCTTCAGCTAATATTACATCATTACACTTAATATACGCTCAATCCATTATGTTCAAGCTGCCTGAAGTGGAAACGTTAAAAAAATTTAAAAAGTACCTTCCTTTACATCTTTAGCGTCTGAATCAAAAAATGAGAATGTGAACCCGCCAGGCTGCTTGGCCCCTGTCGTCAGAGTGGCCGGGTGGTAGATGTCAACTTTCTCGCCATCACGATTCTCACTAGAAGGTATGTCGTCTGCTGTTTCACTGGTGACTTTTGTAGTGTGAAATAGTTCTTTTATGTCCGCAGCAACGCTATAATACATCTCTTTAGACACCTCAGGCAGCTTCTCGGCCTCCTCCCTTTGCTTCCTCCGTTTTGCTTTACTGCAGTGACATTTACAGACACATACATCACAAAGAGACCATCAGTTGGCAGAGATTAGAACAACACCTTAGAAAACTAATGCCATTCTTTCAACAACCAAGAGCATCTACATATAAAACTCTACTCATAAAAGCAGAACCTTGACCAATAAGCTTTTATTTTCTTTTATTTTTTAAAGATTTTATTTATTTATTTGAGAGAGAGAGAGAGACAGCGAGAGAGGGAACACAAGCAGGGGGAGTGGGAGAGGGAGAAGCAGGCTCCCCGCTGAGCAGGGAGCCCGATGTGGGGCT